TTTTCATTCTGATCATTTATGTATACATTTGTCTATATCTATCTCGATTCGTTTTGCCTGTTACAAACAACCGTTATGTGAACAAAGTTATAATACCCTTGTGCACAAGTGCGCTCGGGTATAAAAAACGCGTGTATCTGACTATGTATGTACATACTAGGGCTGATGATACCCGGGTACCCAATTATCCGGGTATTACCCGGTAATATAAACATGTCGCTGTCGGTTAAACGAAAAACACCCGATTAATGCGACATAAAGCTTCTTATTTAACCTTTTTCATACATGTGTACATATCGTCGCTAGCATGTCAAACTATCGAATGTGAAAGTCGTTACTTTTCAGGAGAGCTAAGAAACTGTTGTAAAGAATGTTGTTGTCATTAGAAAAAAGTTTGGGATTCGACACTTTGAAAACGCCAGTATGCTCTTCTTCTAAAAAGACTAGAAATTCGACGATTTTCCAACTTACCTATCATTCTAAAGGCATGCGCAAGGTATCGTAAAATAAAAAGCATTTTTGCACATTCGATAGTTTGACATGGTAGCGACGATATATACATATCTATTTAAGTACGTAGGCGGCCGCTGTGCTGTAGTGGTAAGCAGTGCGCGCTTCCGCTCTGCAGCGCCTGGGTTCAAGCCCTGGTCAAAGCAACATCGCAAAAAAATTAGAAAAAAGTTTTTTTTTTTTTTTTAACAGCGGTCGCCCCTCGGCAGGCAATGGCAAACCTCCGAGTGTATTTCTGCCCTGAAAAACAGCTTCTCATTAAAATACAATCGCCGTTCGGAGCCGGCGTTAAACCGTAGGTCCCTTTGTTTACAACATCATGGGCACGCCCCAAATCGGAAGATAAGCTCGGCCAAACACTAACTTATGTGTAAGCGACAATCTATTATTATTATTATCCTACGGCCACTCTCCTCTCCGCATACCGCACGAGGCAGGGTCCATTTCCACCGAGTATGACGGCGGCTACGGCTGCAAGTCATATCGGCATTTACCTTTTTTTTCCTGTTATATAGTTTTTTTGCACTTCACTTTTTTTGTTGGTTATTTATTGGTTAAGAAAGCTTCTTGTTATGTTACATGTTTTGAGTATTACCGCCTTTTGAATATTATGGTGTGTTATTGGATTTATTTTTAGCATAGTAAGGTTCGGAAGAAAGGTTTTATGTAGTATGCCTGTGGCAGATATTATAAAGGGGATTATCTTAACTGTAATTTGTTTCCATATCCGTTTTATTTCTAGTTGTAATTCACTCTATTTCCCAATTTTTTCGGAGTATTTATTATNTTTTTTTTTTTTTTTCGTAGGAGAGGGAAATGCTTTATGCACTGGCCGGGGGCGCTAGTCTCTATACTACCTTCCCCGAGTGTGGGACTCCCACCGAAGCGTGTTGGGCTACCCACTAAAACCCAAACTCCCACCGCCCGCGCAAGAATCCCGCATCTAGCACCGCAATTCTGCATGTCTTCTGATGCAGGAGCGCGCTTCTAGAGCCTTGGGGCTGCTCTTTTGTAGGGGCGTTTATTTCCGGTGTCCTCAGTAGACAACCGTCCTCTCGTTTGCAGCGGAGTACGAATTTCACGTATCTCGCAACTGCTTCCCACTTTTCTGCGCTGGAAATCATTATCCCAACTATGTTGTCCGGAGTAATGTCTCCGTGTCTTTCTTCCAACATTCTGCGCGAAATCAAGAAGTGTTCGCAGGTGAAGAATGTGTGGTACACGTTATCTTCGACGTTTCCACAGTAGTGACAGAACGGTGAGTCCACCCTTCCCATTCTATGAAGATATTCTCGGAAGTAACCATGACCGGTGAGGAATTGCGTCAGGTAGAAATCGACTTCCCCATGTGGTCTGTTCAGCCATGTTTGAAGGTCGGCTATCAGGGAGTGTGTCCATCGACCTTTTGTGCTCGCGTTCCAGTTTTGTTGCCACTGCTGGATCAGTTGCTCGCGCGCCCTTGCCGCGGCAGCTGCTCGACCTATCTCGGCACTGAGATTGTAAATCTCTTTTCGCTCGTAAGCAAGTAGCTCAATTGGCATGACGCCAGAAATAACTAGAACCGCGTCCGCGGACACTGTACGGTATGCAGAAGCAATGCGTAGTGCCCCTCTGCGCTGGATCGAAGACATAAGAATCTGGTATTTTTTGACTCCCCGTATAAGAGCACCGACTGGACTGTCGTACAGGAGCACCGATTGGACCGCTGTCATCAGAAGCTTCCTGCGGCATGGCTTCGGGCCGCCCACGTTCGCCATCAGCCGGCTTAGAGCCGCCGTGCTCTGCGCAGCTTTTTCACATACTCCATGGATGTGCTCCCAGAATGTGAGTTTGTTGTCAAGCTTCACCCGTAGCNTCCGTTTTCTGGTGAGGAGCACGATCTCCGTTTTGGCTGTAGCCAATTGTGACCGTGATCGCTCATCCATCCACTGACGATTGCGCATGACCTGGTTTAGCTTGAGCTGTGCTAGCTGGACATTTCTTGCTGTTATGACGGCTGCCACGTCGTCCGCGAAGGCGACAAGGAAGGCGCTCTCCGGCATTTCCGTGCGCAACAGACTGTCATACGTGGCGTTCCAGAGGTCCGGGCCAAGTACAGACCCCTGTGCCGCTCCGCCGGTTATACGTCTCTTTCTCTGACCTTGTGTTGTGTCGTACAAAAGCCAACGGACTACCTCAGATCCCGGATCATATCTAGCAAGTATGTTAGAGCCTTGAGTGACCGTTCCAAGGCCTCCAGCATGTCGTCCCATCTTGCAGAGTTGAAGGCGTTCTAGACGTCCAGTGTGACTAGCAGCACTATTGGCCGCGCCTGGTGGCAGGCTTCTTCGGCCTTATGTACCGCCTCGACTACTTCGCCAATTGCTCCTATAGTTGAGTGTCCCTTCCTGAAGCCATGTTGTCGGGGTGAAAGGCCTCCCTCGCTTTCTATGGCTGACGTCAAGCGTATTTTGAGCAGACTCTCCATCATTTTGCCTGCTGTGTCTAGCATGCAGAGTGGCCGGAAGGATGAAGGAGAGTTTGGGTCCCCTTTGCCCTTGGGTATAAGCACCAGTCTCGCCTTCTTCCATTGGCTTGGGAAGACCCGGGCCCTAAGGCAGCTGTTGTACATGTTGAGCAGAAGGNCAGACTCTTCATCATTTTGCCTGCTGTGTCTAGCATGCAGAGTGGCCGGAGAGATGAAGAAGAGTTTGGGTCCCCTTTGCCCTTGGGTATAAGCACCAGTCTCGCCTTCTTCCATTGGCTTGGGAAGACCCGGGCCCTAAGGCAGCTGTTGTACATGTTGAGCAGAAGGTCAGGGCTCGTTTCCGCAGCTAACCTGATTGCCTCCGCTGGTATGCCATCTGGGCCTGGGGCCTTGCCGGCTTT